AGTTTCAGTGATGTCATATTGTTCTTTAATTTAGCCGGAATAGCAAGCTGCTTTCGATCATCTGTACACGTGCCATTTAATTTGTGTATTACACAAATCTTTCCACGAAACAGACAGTTTTAAGTGCAAAAGGTGCGAAAGTGCAGAATCACTCCAGCATCCCCTTAAGGCTCAGGGCTTAAATCATCTATTGTAGACTGGGACTAACGAAGACCAAGTTGAAGACTTTCCTTTACCCTCATTTCCATCCCGGATTGCTTCTACACTTGACAACATTTCGAAAGAATCAATAAAAGTTGATAATTTTTGGTTTCGATTCTTGAATTCATTCGAAGGAAAAACATACGTGAAACTTCTGCCCTTACAGAAAAGTTGCAAGTTGATTGGCTATTCGCATGGTTTTTAACCAATCGACTGTCAACTTTTCTGTCAGAGTACAATTTTCGTGTACGTTTTCCTTTCGAATGAATACAGGGGCTCGATTCTCGAATGAACCCAAGAATCAAGCCCCAGGATTCGAGCCCCTGATTGTGCGAGGAAATGGGAACACACCCATTATGCACCGAACGGACCCATTATGAAAACCGGCCTTAAGAGGTACGCGACGTACGGATGGTGGCGACACCTACAGAGGATTAGGGAATATAAGTACAACGGATCGTGCGGTGCAGGAAAAACGGAGGATTTCAAATGACAAAAGTAAGCGTGATGCGGCACAGTTTGGGCGGAGGCAGAGGAGTCGGAGAAGAGTATTAACGAAAAAGACCGAAGCAGAGGGAGGCGGCGAATTAGCGAGGCAATGCCGGGAGAGGAAGTGAGAGCCGCCGGAGAGAAAAACTTGTCGAAATGGAGAGAGAACCGGTAAGATTGTTTAGCGCAATATGGCGAATGCCTTGGATATGATAGAAGGCGTACACGGACGTCGTTTAACATACAAATATACGCACGCAAGTGAATCTCGGCAGCGTCAAATAAAAGATTTCCCAACCGTGTCACTGTGATCGCTATTCGATATTCTGTTTCACGTGCATTTTCTTCAACGGCTGTTCAATGTGGACAAATATCGAGATAGCCGGCGCAAAATACCGCGCGTTCGTTAATTTCATATTGCGAACGGTCGCCATTAACGCACGAAATCCAGCATTTTTTATTCAACCCGTTAATCACACAATTCGCGAATAGAGACGTGAAATGAGGCGTCGCGCGGTTATTGCTAGCTTTAATTACCGCTCGTCGGAAATGAGCGAATTGTTCGATATTACGTGTTGCATTCTCAATTAAAACATGCGCGCGCTCGAGTAAACGCGTGGATTATGTATGGAGCAATTACTGGAACCTAATACCGTCTAATACGTTTGATGAATTAAATGACGTTGACTCGAGTGGACGAGCGATCGTTCGTGTTTCTCGACGTCGGCTGCGTTTTTTTTCCTCGCATCGTTTAACATTTTTAATATGCGTTCTTGTGCATTTCGAGTCTTACAATATTATATTTGCGCGGAGGAGTTATTGAAGCCTCGACGCATAAAGTACACACGGCGTCGCGTGTACGCGTTTCCCATGTATGCCTCGATGAACGCCAATATATTCGCGCGTTAAAACAGCGGACTGTGCTTCCCCGACTCCGTACGTTTCTATACAGTCTGAAATTATTTTCGAAACAATTCCGCACGGGCGCTGTGTAAGCAAAACCGCGGTGAAGTGAACGATAATCTAAACCTAACACTAGACGTGCCGAGCTATCACTTCTGATCGTTTCCATCTCTTCGATTAACACTCTATTTTTCGCAAAATAAAAGATAGGATTTCGAAATTTTATGAATTTTCATCGATCAAGTGACTGACGAAGAGTCATAAAAATTTCAGAATGCTCTCGTACGCGAAATAACGTCCCTGTTTAAAATAATAGATAGAATATGATCAGATTACATTAGATTGCACGCGATTTCAACGTAAATGAATAAGAGTCTTATTAATTTACATTGCACGTAATCTAATGCAATCTGGTCAGATTTTATCCAATATTTTAAACAGGGGTGTTGATCCAACAAAATGGAAACTGTGAGAAATGACTGCTCGGTACTTCTAGCGTTAATATCCTCTGATTTATTCTATTATTTTAACTCGTTACTCGGATGTAACTCTTATATAGTACAGCAAAATATTGGATACGCCAATTAAAGCGGGCGTCGCATCGTTCGGTATGGCTGATTAGTATATGTATAAGAATTTCCGATCAATTAGCTGAGTCGTTCCATGTTCTGTGCGTTCCCCAAAATAACTCATACGTGCAAGTAAATTTCAAGCGTGTCGAATTAAGAAGATACGTCGCGATGAGTGCCTGCATTCGCTTGTTGAGACAGGGGTGAGTTTTATATCTCTCGCGCTTTCCATACCGTCCGCTGTTTTCAAAATAATTTCACGCGAACACCGATCAAGAAAAAACGCGATAATCGCGATGGCAAACAAATAATATTCCCCAATAATTCTTATTCAAAGCTCTATTACTTTAACTCGTTCGTGCTCCTCGAGTGCAACTTGTGCGCAAAACAGCAAAGTATTGGCAAGCATTGTTCGTCGTGGCTGATTAATACCATTAATTAGTAGAAGACTCTCCGACCGATTAGTCGAGTCGTTCGACGTTTCCTCCTTTAAAATCCAAAAACTGTTTCCTAAAACTTCCCTTGATAATCTCTTTTGAATCGAGATTACAAACAAGTATCAAATTAAGTCTCAAGATTCATCTATTACAGTATGATGTCTCAAGAGTGGTTTTAGCTGAGTTTTTCAATAGAATCTCGATTACAAATACGAGCCTCAATAATCTGGATATTAGTTCAATGCTTGAAATTAAAATCCAAATACAATTGAGCGAATTACTTATATATGTGGCAGCCCATGACGTTAACGTTTAATTCAAGCAACTTCATTTTTTAATTCAACAGCATTTTTTTTCGTGCACGTATTATACGTAGACACCCACACTACGGTGGAGTTTATTTAATATAGTAATATCCTGTCATAATCCTTGCTTTATTGCAATCCCTGTTGAGTACCTTTGAAATACCATATCAATTTTTTACATTTAATAGGCTATAATTCTTATACACTCATGTTATATTTAATATAATTTAGTTTTAATATTATTTTCATTACTTTACTTTTATTACATTTAATGCAATAGAGATAAAATTTTTATTTATACAATCCCGATATTACTTATTCTTTATTTTGTGGTAGCTTTTTCTTTATTCTTAGTTTTAAATGTAGCAAATTGCTCTCCAATCAGTACATAAAATTTAAATATACGCAGAAATAAGTAGTGAAATTTTGTTAAAAAATTTTGCGCGTTTATCGTGAAATCAAGATTATTTGAATCAAAGAATTGCGAAATAGTTTTTGTAGAAATCTACAGCGTTGCATCGTTGCATTGTTAATTTAAATTGTTTTTAGCAAAAAAAATCTGTATATTTTATATAAATTATACAGATGACTAAAGTAACGTTAATAATAATTTTATATTATTTTATATTATTCTATTGCATTAAAATATTATATTATTTACTTTTTACCTTGTGTACTAAAGTATTTCCGTAAAATTGTGATATAAAAGTGTTAGCAGTTTTATTTGCTGTGAATATTACACTTTTTTTAAGTAGATGCCTTACATTCTCGATTATAAAAAATAAAAAATAAAAAGTTAAATTCGCTCGTAGCACTTGACCGAATATCAAAGTCTTTTACAAATCTAACGTTCCCGGTTTGCGCACCTGTGGCCGAAATTTCTCTAATCTGTTAACAGTTAAATCATCGTATCTATACAGTATATTAAAGAGGTAAATATCTAGTAATCCGTTCGCTCTCTATATTGGACGAGACAATACTTCCTAGTACCTGATCTTTAAATTGAGATTCTATCGTAAAAAAGGGGGAAATAAATGATATATATTCACTAATAATACAAATTCGAAAATTTAAACTCTCTCAATTATTATTAGAAAGTTTATCTTTCGGTATTTACGAGATGCTATCATATTGATCCGTATTTTAAAATTCAACAGCGTTGCATCTGAATCCCTAGTTTGTCCTCACCGTGAAAACGATGTCGAAGTTAAAGATCAAGTGGGAAAGTAACTTTCAGCACAGACTAGCGTCAGATGCAACGATAGCGGGAATAAATTCAAATGATAAGGGAGAAGCGAAATGAGTTCTTAGCCGCTTACTCTGCGCAAAGTTTGGTGAAGAAAACCGGGTTTATTTTGCATAGAGCTCTCCGGCTCGCACGTCGTTCACACTGGTTGTAGTTATAATGGACACCCGAAGTTATAGTACGTAATAGTTATAATGGACGTTCGGAGCGAACTTCACATTATAAGCAATTTGTCATTTTACATAATGCGTTTATTAAGTAAAGCGCGCGCTTGCCCAATACGATTAAATCGTTGTGCTTAATTAAATTTTTTCAAGCTTTAATTAATAAACCTAATTATAATAAATATATCAAAGAAATTATTTTAAAGAAAAACATCTAATAGTTTCTTACATTTTTAAGCATTCAAAGCTAAATGAATTGATTTGTATTAAATTTTGCGGGCGTTAAAACAATTTAGAAAGGCTTCACAATGATAGGAATCGACAGAATTATAGATTATTTGTTAATTCTCTACATTATAGCTTCATCACGCCGGATTGATACCTTACATAAAGGTATTTACGCTATGCGCGCAAATATAACAAATCAGAATAATCACGCTTATTTTCACGCTTATTATCAATTAACATTCTCTTGTGTAATACAACGTTTGAAAGCCAACTGAATTAGAAATCCAATTTTGCAATTAGGAAATAAAATACGTATAGGTACGTAAAATATTTTACAAGTATAGAAAATATTTCAAAAATACAAATATGAGTATGAAATTAAAAAAAAAAATATATGCCAACGTGTACAAAATATTTTACGCGCGCGTGTACATACGTTTTAATCCGCTAGCCAGTAATTGATAGTTATAATATAAGCTATTAGGAAACAATGTGTGGAAAATTGTTTTATTATATATTTTACGAAAGTTGTTTGTGCGGAGAAAAATGATAAATTATTTCATTATTTAGATCTGGAAATACACTCCGCTTTATCTTGTCGCCCCCACTAATAATTTGATGATATTTTTGTACAATAATAAGACATATTACTTTTCGTGTAATCTTGAAAAGGATCAGAGTCGGTAGAACTTGACAAGAAACTTCTTCAAGAAAGAGTAAACATTAGTTTCTATTAATACGCACACTTCATTAGCGGACTATCCGCCACGGTCTTTTCTTTGTAGCCCATTTACGCCAATTGTATTCCGGTCTACGATTGCTCGTGCTTTTTTCTATTTTTTTGCCGTTTATATTACGCAGGTTATTTTATCTACTATTTAACTCGGTTGCGAGTTAATTCAATGAGGAGACGAGGAGACGATGATGACGACGTTCCGTCGTCGCTCGCATTTCGACGGGCGCCGATGAAAAGTCGATCGATCCGTGCGGGGGTGGATCGACGGGAGCTTCTCTTTTTGAAACGTGGCCCATCCCTCTCAGGCAACCGGTAACCCCCACCGGTAGCGCTTGCGCCCCTACGTTTCCTATAAGAGGCTGAGTACCGCTCGCGCGGATTTCAGTCTGACCCGCGGTACCGGCGCCGCGGTCGTCGTTGTGCGTCGTTACGAACTATATCCCCTTCGAGGACAATATTCCCCGTCATGATGCTCCCCGGCCTCGACTAAGAGCGAGAGAGATAAAGAGAGGGCGAGCAAACGCGAGAAGAAACTCCTCTTTTTCATTCCTTTCCCTCCCGCCATCGCGATAAATCAAACAGCGTCGTCGTCGTCGTCGTCGTCGTCGTCGCCGTCGTTGTCGTCGTCGTCGTCGTCGTCGTCGACGTCAGCAACGACGTTGCTTCTCCTGGACGACCAGCGTACGTTGACATAAAAAGAGAGACCAACAGTATTGCGATCGGCAGTAGTTCTGCCTGTTGTTGCGTGGACGTGGTAGTGGTGGGGTCCTATTGCTCTCCGCTGAACCCCTCTTCTACGCGGCATGTGATTGTGCCCTATATGTGCCATTTAACTTAATAGTGAAACGCGACTCTTATGGTGATGTCTTTTACGTTGCTAAATAGTGGGATCGTCGACGGAGACGGAACGCGATCGCTTTTCAGTGTTCGATAGCGGATATGCGTCTACCTGATTGGTAAAACTCGTCTGGACGAAGCTGTCTATAGCTGTTGTGTTTTGCGCGACGGACAATCCTCCTTTCGTTCTTTCATGGTGGATGATGTCGTCGTTTTTTTCCCCCTTGTTACCTGCTCGGTGAATGGTTCTTCTTTTTATGTTGTTAATTGTTGTTGCTGGATGCCGATTTCTTGAAATTGCTGTTTTAATGCTGCGGAATGAAGAATTTTCGTTGCTCCTTTATGAATGAATTACTGCGTTGATTAGACTGTATGTGTAATCTTATTTAGTAGTTAATTAACTGAAGTTGCTTGGTTGTTTAAATAAAAACATTTTAATCTCAGAATATCAAGTATAACGTTTTAAATGTGTTTTATGTTCGAATACAGCGCGGTGAATTAATAGAAATTAATATTTCAATTAAATGTATTTAATCCCACTTAAATTTGTCAGAGACAACAGTCTCGATAAACTTACGCAATAAATATGAAAAATTTATCGTCTTTACTCATCGTAAATGTCTCATATCTGTTGCGCGCGACGAGAACAGTTCGCAATGCCTCTGACAAATTGGTTTGGTCAATTTAGCTAAAACGCAATTAAACTTTTACTTGCACTAAACTGTCTTTGCGTTTAACACGAGATCACGTTACATAGTAAAAAAAAAATTTAACTGCCCCAATTTTTGTTGGTCGCTCCGCTGAGAGATTCAAAGGGAAAGAGAACGTCGGAACGGTCCCTCTCCATTAGTTGGGAAAACTAGAGAGTGGCTAGGGATGATAGTGCATTTGGCGCGGGCGTTTGTTTCTCGTTCGCTGCCTACCGCGGCGAACGCGAGGCTATACTACTTGTTCCTCGTTTTGTCGCGATGCGTACACCAGCGATGTTTCTGCAGTGCTTAACGTTGGTCATGTTGATATCGTTTGCGTCCACCAACTTTTTCAAATAAATTCGTCATGCAGAATGTCCGACGGCGCGTGGCTATCGTCTCAAAAGAGATTCGTTCCTGCGATTTCCCCCCCTGTGTGTGCGTACAATATATTTATGGCTCGAAGTAATAAATGTTATTCGCGAAGTAAGTTCGTTTTCCTATCGAAATTTCATGAGGCGCGGCCTTTTTGAAAAATTGTAATAATAAGAAAGTCCTTCATCCGAATTCAAATAAAGATCTCAGTATAGCACCGTTCTCGCAAATAACGGCGTGATTTTTAAGAGTGAAAATGTGAAATATCATATTTGATCTGATGAGGTTTCCCAGGAAACCAGCGTATCTTATTTTCGCAATTCACTTCGACGCAAATGCGATACCATCTCGGCAGACGTCAGTAATATCTCCGCTACCGAATAAATCCCGGCTAAAAGACAAAAGTGAATCGACTACAAACGAAGGGAAAACTTTGCTTATCGAGAAATCATCGATGAGCGATAAGATGTTGCGGAATATATTGATTGCATAGAAAGGCATCGCAAAGATCGTTTAAATAGCGTGTTATTTTCTTTCAAAAGTTTCACAACGCCGAGAAAACTAACAATTTTAGCTCTAAAGATCTGTGCCGTTTTTTAAATTCTCACATATATCTTGAATTAAAAATTACGATAGTGAGAGGAAGAAATTAAAGTAAAATTAACAATTGAGGTAAATCAAAATGACAGGCACTCGATGCAAATAAAATCGGAGCCGTTCTTATACATATTTATAACGAATACTGACTGCCGTTCGTTAGTGCTGTTTACTAATTTTAGAACCTTCGTCAGCATGCAATTCAGTGTGTCGCGAATCTCAGCTATTGCATGCAAAGCGCACGTATCCTTTCTTAATGCACACAGCGACACGTCGCACCCAAATGTGCGGTGACAGGTGCCCATTTAATGCCTCACGACATGATATTCAGTGAGAGAACGTCTCAGGAAATTGATAATGGTCTGCCTTCACCATTTCACCCTTGTGTTAATAGTTGCTGCAACTGCAGGAAAATGTAATTGAAACAATCGAAGTGATCGAATCGATAATGCGAAGCTCGGCTTCTATCAAGCACATGGTCTATAATTTATGTGCGTCACGAAGGCAAGCATAATTCATTGAGATGGTGGAGGCTGAAGGCCGATACCCTAAAGAGAATTTACTTTATGCGATACGTGAGCAATGTAGGCCATCTCGGGAATCGTATATTTTCTACAGATTACTCGGGGAAATAGGCGGTTCAACTATATTATATAACATTTAGCAAAAGCTTGAACATAATTTTTTTTAATATTTGAAAGTATATTTAAAAATTAAACAATATTTGTTTTGTACATGTTGACTATTGACAACAAAGATACAAACTGCTATTAACGCAAAGTCCAATGGTATATTTATTATAACTAATTATTAGTAATTATTAGATTAAAAAATTATATATTTATTTTTAAAGCTCAAAACAATGGAATTTTTTCTTACTTATAGTTTTACAATTTTACAATCTTGATAGTGAAGTATATTCTCAACTTACACGTGCGTGATTCTTTTTTAAAGAAGATATGTGATTTCTCAGATACTGTCTTAGTTATCTCGAATGCAATATATCTAAGATTCTTCTGGATTTCTTAAAATGAGTGGCTGATTTATAATACATTTTGGAAAAGTCAAAAACTCCTCTCTTTAATTTAATAAAAAAGTTTTTCGGTCAGTATTATTAGTGTCCAATATCGAATCTAAAAAATTAACATTGCTCGCTCTAGCAGAATATTTTTGATAAGTTTTTCTGTATATATTGTACATACATATATGCGGTGCAACTTAACTTGGAGCGTGCAGATATTTATTGCATATGACAGATGCTCATAACATCGTATATACAACGGTAATGCGCGACAGGAGAAATATGCCTGAGTAACCATAAGTCGTGGTACCCATCCGTGCCGAAAATTATTTATGACGTTGCCAAACCACATATATGCAACGGTTTGTATGCCTTATGAAAATTTCATGATAAAATCTCATACTAATACGATGGAAATGCAAGTATATTTCATCAAGTTTCAATATGATATTATTAAGTGAAATCATATTTATTTCATATATTTTTGTTCTGTATTATACATATTATAGCAACTTTGAATATATGTATGTAAAAATTCTTTTCTGATTATTACTTTTAATTATTTTCATATTTTTCATTTTTCCGGTACTTTCATAACATACATACGTTTTAGTCCGAGAATTATAATATTAATATGCATCAAATAAGATTTTATTTTTTTTGTTCAATTTAATTTTATGTCATCTGAAAACGAAAAGATTATTTTTGCCTATAATCTTTTTCGAAATTCTAGTACTCTACTTTTGATAGCGAAATGCAAGTTCGAAAAGTAGGACAGTTTTCTATAATTAACGAACTAGTCACGAACGTTACATCGTGCACATTCTGCAGGGCAATAAGGTAGAATAGTAAAGTGACCTGTCGAAAGAGATGCATCGTTATCGAGAGGAGCCTTGTGCTATATAAATTCGATGGGGAGACTACGGGGAGATATTTGTCGTTTTATAAAGTTTTATGAAGACGCATTGGAAGTTGCCAGCATCAGTAAATTTTTATCAGGCCAATGCTAATCTTTGAAATACATGGAAAGAATTTTCTCTTAAAATTTACCCTGAAAATTACGTAATCGTGGGACAACATGGCAATTTTCAACAACTTTATGAGAATTTTTTTAAATTTTACCATACGTTCTACTAATAAAATATATACCAAATATAATTACTAGTAAAATGTATGGTAAAATTTCAAAAAACTCATAAAATTCTGGGAAATGCCACGTTGTCCCACGATTACATGATTTTCAGACTAAATTTTAGGAAAAATTTTTCTCCGTGTAGCTATTATTTGAAACGAACGTAATCCAAACGAGGCGAGGTTGAGTTAAATCTCCTCTGAACCACTTACTGATCGCCATAAGGGAAACTCACCTTTCGATCGTCTTCTCTTCAGATCAACGATCTCATGTTGGAGCAATGGAGCTAGCCAAGAAAATTATTATTTACACCCAAATAGGTTAAAACGAAAATACATACAATCACGTCAAATGTGATCCAAAATCTCTGTAATATCAATTTCACAATATTATTATTATAATATTCAATTTAACATATAAAACATCCAAAAGTACAATTTAGTATTATATAAAGATTTCTTGCAGTGTCTGTCATTTAAAGTCAATACGGGTGCGTCATATATTAAATAGAATCCAAAGCCTGTAAATTTAATCTCCAATAAAACTGATAAAGATCGTGAGACAAAACAGTACAAAATTTCGAAAAAAATGCTTGTAAATTTTAAATAATATATCTATATATAAAGTAGATAAATTTGATGATACAGCTTTAAATGTGCAACCTAAAAATTTGTTTATTATTCAGCATTTGAAGAAATATTTAATTTGCTCCTCAATCAAAAGCGAGTTTGTTTAAATATTGAAGTGGGCGAAGTCTCGAAGGTAATGATTGACTAGCAATCAATTGCGCTTCGTTGTACATGATAACAACGATGAAAACGCACGATCGTTTCACATTATACAGATTTGCTCGTGGTGAAATGTACAAATTTATCGTCAAGGTTGAACAGTGCACGAAGAAACGGCAATTCGCATTTATAAATTCGTGGACTGCATTTGAGTGTGTACGTCATGCGGAAGCAAGCACGTACGCAAACTATCTCCCGAAATAACTTACTGGAGAGATAGAGAGGTGTTCTCTTTCGGTACCTGCTCGCCTCGCGTTCCAGCACTATACCATAATGTAACGCGACAGATAATAATGTAACGACATGAGTTTCGTCGTACGACGTCTCCGCGAAATTTATACAGTCGTCATGCTCCACTCGCATATCGCATATCCAATTTGTTGCATCGTCGCGTGCTCTTGGTTTTTCTCTACACATTCCGCATTTTATAAAGATGATCCTGCAACGTGGAATTTAAGGCGTTAAAATTTAATTGTACTTTCGACGTACGTAGCGGTGCGTTCAATGAAATTGTTGT